AGTGTGTGTGTGTGTGTGTGTGTGTGTGTGTGTGTGTGTGTGTGTGTGTGTGTGTGAGACTTAATATAATCTTAAATATATTCTAGATAACACGACTTGATGATGTTTGAAAGATTCAAGGTCTGTAAAACGTTTTTCCTTTCTCTAGCACTACATTTAATTAAAGTAATCTAAATTGAAGTCAACGGCCAACAGCAATGTCAAGAAAATGACATGTAGATATATGTAATGTATATGTATTCGCATGAATGTGTCCGAACACAATGTATTAAACAAAAATCCATTTCGCTAGAAACAATTACTCGTACACTTTTTGTGAGAATGCCTTTCTAAGATGCCTTTTAGACACGCGTGTTATTTGGAATATTTTAATAAAAGGAAAGAGCACATGATGCATTTACTTACATTTTTGGCGACGAAAGGCTTCTCTCTGCGAAGACACGCACACCTCGACATTTGACAGTCGACTGATGAAATGATCGAGTGATACACGTGGTCAGCCAACGATGCCGACGCGCGAGAAACTTGGCAACCACGCACACTGAAGAAAAATCATGTGCGCTTAGCGTCTTCGCTTCAGCTGCCCGATAGAAGAACGATCTTCTGTCTCATTTCTTCCAATTGCATAATAACTCGAACCTCCCTCGCTGTATCATATATCTATTATGACAATATTTTATATATAACAATAATAATATCCGTAGCAAATTAAATAAAGATTAACTAAAGATATAAAACAAATCGAATATGTTCAACAACCGAAAAGGACACGAATAATTCCCTCGGCAGGATCTTAGATATCTAACAACTTTTTCTCAAAAATGTTACTCGATTTAATTAATTATCTTTAATATTAACGACAGTCTTTGAAATTATCAATATGTTGTTTTTTATATAAACGCTATTTCACGTATATTTTTTTTAAAGTAATTAAAATAAAGCCTTTTTTCTTGCATTTAGAATATTTGGAGATTTACTATTCCGATTGCGCAAACCATAGTTAATGTTTAAAAAAAAAACTCGGATATTTTATGATATTAATTAAAGCCACGTAATATCGCATACAGATAGCAATTTACTTACAAAAGGTTGGTTCTGTTAACAATACGAAGTTTTACAAGGATGTGAGATGTCTTTCTTCCAATACACTGCAACATACGCTGCATCTAGATTTTATCCAACCCTTTTGTCAGGAACTATAAAAGAAATATTAATTTTCATTTTATGCAAAGAATATATAATTTCGAATTTATATATTCCTATATGTATATAAATATTTAAATTTTTCAATATTAGTCAATCTTTATCTTAAATCAAGTATACTATACAAATCTTAAAAAGAAATTGTAGCGGCATTTTATGTAAAAAACTGCAATAAGGCAAAGTGTTCGATGCAGAAGATGCAGATAAAAAAATTTGTTGGGATAAAAATAAATTATTATATCAATTGCTATTTAGATTATCATGACAAGGAATGCTTATTTTAAAAAACCAAAGCCGCTCACTATTCCAATAGCTGTTGTATGTTGTACAAGCGAGAAGTACATTTCATCTCCCAGGTTGGAATTTATTCGAACCAATGAATCAATTCACAGCTGCAATCGAAACGGTATGTTGCCAATCTGTCAACAAGGAAATAATGTACATTATGAAATATACAAGTAATATATAAAAACATAATATGCTCACATTAGAAAATTGAAGTATTAGATTTATCAAATTTGTCATACAATCAATTTATCAATTTGTGACATATATCTTAAAAAATATCTCAATACAAATATTATAAAAATCGAAGTATCAGATAAAAATTTCAATTAATTAATTGCAACGTCCTTATTTTTTATTATAAAATCAAAAAGATATTTCAGAAACATACTTTACAAAAGCTTCGGTAATTCTTGCTTCCTGATCGTAATGAGAAAAAACAGGATTTTCTTCCCCTTGCTGATATCAGTAAGGGCAATGTCCAGCATATCATTGCCGATATCGTTCAAATATAATTGTCTATTTGACACTTCTCGATATTTCAATTAATTTTGCGATCTCGTAGATCGGCTCTTTTTTTCAATTTCTTTATTATTAATTCTCACAATTTCTTTCTACATACTGAAACATATTCATGAAGAGATATTGAATTGCATGCAGTACATTTTGTAATAAAACGTATTCTGCGCCTAACGCAGTGAAATGCTAAAAAACATCTTGCGCTATGCGCGGTAAATTGCGCGGTAATAAAACGTATTCTGCGCTTTGCGCAGTTAAATACTAAAAAGCATTCTACGCTCTGCGCAGTAAATTATAATAAAACGTAAACGTCGCAGTAAATGTGACAGGCTGGACTATTTCTTTGCGCGAACATATGCTTATCTCTTTTCGCGCAGACAAGATGTATCGGGATTGTTTTTAAGAGCTTCATTTTTTCGTGTTGCGAAATCTATTGCAGTCAACGTTCAGTTACGGTCGCGCATGTATCATTGATTGAAGTTTGCGAGATTCATAGCATTATTCGTCTACTTTTTGTTGTTTAATGTCTATTTGTAACCAACGATATCTTCGTGTAATAAATACGTATTATTCTGAATTAGAGAAAAGTGATTCTGTGAGTAAGTTTTACGTTTGTAGCAGAAAAAAAGAGAGTGAATATTTAAGTGAATAGTCGAATGAACAGTCAGGTGAAGAATCAAGTGAATAGAAAAAAAAATAATCAAGGCATAATAAATAATGGCAAATATGAGAAATAAATTTTATGATAAATGCATGTATAAAGATTGCATAAATGAACGAATGTCTCATGAAAAACGTATATAAATTTCCATTACAAACAGTTGCCAGATATCATATGGATACAAAATAATGGTAAGTTTATACGTGTACATATATATATTTTGGAATGTGAGTCGGTGCGTATAGGAAGATTAAAGATTTGCAGGCTAATTATTAGGTTCTAAAAATACATGGTCGTTTTATTATTTAAAATTTACAAGTCCTGACTAGTTTGAGTCTCGAGATTGAATATCGACCTTCCTTTCGATCAGTTGCTCAGATAATATTTTTTATTCGAGATGTTTCTACCCGCATCAAAATATTTTTCACAATGTTATGATCCTAAATCTCGTTATAATTTAAATGTATTAACAAAATTGCGAATTATTTCCTTCTCCGATTTCCCGTGTCGATTAAACTTATCTAATCTGCATGCTAAGAATTTCGGGAAGTGAACCTAGACACTTAATCTCTCAACGCAAAACGATTAGGTGAAATCTCTATTTAAAAAAACAGTCATATTTGTCTGCCGATTCCGCGTAAATAGCTAACGACTCGGAGTATCTCAACTATGTGTGTTTGTCTAATGATCCCGCGTGTTCGGCTTTAAGATCCATGGCGATATGTTCGTCATAATATATATATATATACTACTGTGATCAAATATAAACGAGTATTTTTGTTATAGAGCGAAAAATCTTTATTTATTCTTCAAATCAAATTCGTCGCCTTCAAAATAATCCCCTCCCGATGCAATACACTCATGCCAATGCTTTTTCCAATCTTCGAAACACTCTGAAAACTCTTCTTCCGGAATGGCCTTCAATACCTTCTTCGTTTCGGCTTGTATCTCCTCAATCGATTCAAAATGGTGTCCCCGGAGCGGTCTTTTGAGTTTACTGAATAGCC